GAGGAGGAGGAAGGAGGAAGGAGGAAGGAGGGAGGGGCGAAGGAAGGAAGGAAGGAAGGAAGGAAGGAAGGAAGGAAGGAAGGAAGGAAGGAAGGAAGGAAGGAAGGAAAAAAGAGCAATGTTTGGGGAACGCGTTAGGAAGACTGCAGACGGGAAGTCCGCCACACCACATTATTCAGGGCAGTTTCTTATAAGAAGAGCAGTAAAGAAATTGCAATTTATGCCATTTAGAGGCGAACCGCCCTTCCATCTGGAGTGGCTGTGGAATGAAAAGCACCCACAGGAGGGAGGGGGAGCGGGCTCCAGGTCTGCCGTGAAAAGGCTGCCTGGATTCGGCTAGTCACAAAAAACAGCCGGGGGCGGAGAGAGGGAGCAGAAAGCCACCCCGTGAATTCCAGATTGCGGTTTACGCTTTTGTGTCTTGTGAATGCTCTTTTCCAGGGGTCCAGCCCAGAGCTCAGCCGCTGGAAGGGAGAAGGAGCGAGAACATCAGTTACTGCCTGCCAGGATGATGGATAAAGAAAAGCCAGTCCATCCGAGGATGAGAGAATCCTTCCTTAGGGCAAGGGAGAAGTCACCAGGGGCAGGGGTGAACTTTATCAACCCAAATGCCACACCAGCCGTTTATTCCTGTTCTGAACCAGGGAGGTGACTGTCACCCCAGTATGCTTCAGGGCCCCTTGAACCGTTAGAATTACCCAAACCTAGTAGGATACAAGAAGTGGGATCCAGCTACTGAGAATCCGGACACATTCCAGCACTACCAAACCCTGAAGATTCTGTTGTGTTAGCTAAGGAATGTCTCCAGGCTGACCTTCTAGGCGGTGAGAGGAGCTAGAGACTGGGGCAGGAGGAGCCAGGGGCACTTTCTTCTAGGACCTTGGCCAGGGGGAACCTAGAAGCAGCCCTTCCTGCCTGCAGGGAATGTTTAGCTGGACTCTCCACACTCCCCAGATCTGTTTAAGTTTGCTGGGGTTCTCCTCCCACCAGCCAGGTGAACACCAGCACTGGAAGGCTGCCGGCTTCTTTGCCCGGTTAGGTTCACCTCTGCCTCTGGCAATCTTGCCAGTCACACTGCCTCTGCCTGCTTTAGAGAGTGATGCACCCGCTCAGCTCGCTCTGGGGAATGAAGACCAACAAGCGCTGGTGCTTCTCAGCACCAGGACTAGCCTATAGGTCAGCTTTACCCACACAGACTGCTGTTAAACTTGCCTAGAAGGGTTCCTTTAAAGCGGCTTCCCTCAAGGCCAGATGATAGGAACAAAGCAAGATTATGTTGCAAAATGTATTTGAAAGCAAAACCTTCCTAGCATTTTTTTTAACCTTGCAAATATCTCCAGAATGTCTGTGCTGACAGGACTGTGTGGGCTGCCTGCTCCATCCCGGAAAGGAAGGCGGGTGCTCAGAAGGCTTAGTGGAGTGAATTAAGGGGAAGGAGACTTCTTTTCTCAACGTCCACTAGCCGGTGTTCTCACATTGCGCCTGAGCAGACTCTGGCACCAGTTGCTGCTCCTGTCTGCCCTCTGTTTCCAGGAGATCTTCAGGACGGGAGTCTTCATTTATATGAGACAAGATGTATCAAAGTGGTGTCTGGGTTGGGGGTGGGGGAATGGCTCAGGACTGGTGATACAGCTTGCTTGGCTTCAGCAAGATCCTGGATTTGAGTAACCCCGGCCAACCCTTAAAAACAAACAAAACCTGCTACTGCTAATCAAGGAACATGAATATTTTCTTCCTTCCCTCCTCCATCTTTCTCCCCTCCTTCCCTCCTTCTCTCCCTCCTTTCCTCTCTTCTTTCCTGACAGGATCCCACTTTGTGGCCCTGGCTGCCCTGTAACTCACTCTATGGGTGGTTCTCAACCTTTCTAATGTCTCAGCCCTTTAAATACAGTTTCTCCTGTTGTGGTGACCGCCCCCTCCCCCCCCAGCCATAAAATTATTTTCGTTGCCTTCATTAGTTGGCCAATGACTATACTGGGTGTTCAGACCCAGCACTGAGCCTTTCTCAGGGTGAGCTTTTAAGCACAAAAACCCTGTTCTGGGCTGACATACTTCAGTTAACAAGAACAGTTAGCCGGAGGTGGAACTAGGTTAGGACATTTCGAGACTTTCCCAGGACTATATGGACTTTGATGGATTCGGGCTTTGTTTCAGTTTGGCAGGAGGTGCTGAGTGTTGCAGCCTGGATGGCCCTTCCACCATGGAGTCAGTTGTGCTGTCTGGGGCCCTGTTACAGAAGACACAGTGGAGCCTGAGCAGTTGAAGCTTGCACAGGTAGAAGAGCGGGGTTTCTGGAGGGAGGCAGCAGACAGATTATAATCTGACTGGAAGGAATGGTAAGTCTCCCGGTAGTTATGGTCCTCTCTGCCTGGGCCAAGGGTCAGATGCTCATTTCTTTTCTTCTTGTGGAAAAAAAAAAGATGCCCTAGATGAGTGGGGTCCTCAGGCAGGAAACCTGGGCCTGCATCCTGCAGTGCTTCTCAGTGTAGCTATGAGGGGCTACTGCGAATAGTCCTGACAGGGAGAGGGACCACAGCTGAATTATAAAGGTGTCAAACTTCCAGCTGCTGCCTTGCCCTCCTCCCCCCTGAACGGATACAAAGGCCTGGCAACTTGAAACAAAGACCTTGCCTGCTTGTATTTTTCCCCTATCTGTGGCAAGCTCCCCCTACCAACCTGTCCAACAAGTTCAAGGCCAGTTCCAGACCAGCCTCCTGGTTTTTGTTCTAAATGATCAACCCTAAATTAGGGGACAAAAATCCTTAACCCCTTCCACCTTCCAGCCTGACTCGTAAGTACCCTTCACACGAGCTTCTCTGGGAGAAAGACTCAGGACCCCGAGCCACCATGATCGAGCCCTGAAGTGGGAAAGCATTTGGAGAAATTAGCAGCATAGTCACAGACAGACATCGTGGGGTCTCGAAGGGAAAGAAAGCCTTTCCTTACAAACCCAGAATAGCAAGAGTCAGGACACAGTGCTTCAGACAGCAACAATGGGCCCTGAGGGGAGAGACACACCTTTCTATTCCGGAGAACAAAGAGGCTCTCTGACTTTGATGGGGTCGCAGGGATGTGGACAGGTTTCATACCCATCTGCCTGGAATCACGGAGGCAGCAGTGGGTGGGACCGTGAACACATCCAGCAGCTGCCAGAAGGAGCAAGAATGGCAAGGCACGGCACAGCACAGCAACTCCGTCTGCAGAGGGATGTAGCCTGATTTCTGGGAGAGGAGAAACAGGCAGCGAGAGTGTCTCTCGCCTAACTGGGAGATGGCTCAGTGCAGCCAAGGTGTCCTCCATCTCCCAGAAGCTGTTTTCCTGAGGCAGGTGTTACTCGGTCTTGTGAAGCAATGGGATCTCTGCTAACAATGTTCAGGCAGCTTTGGGCTCCACAGCAAGCATGTACGAATCTGTTTTTTGTCTTACTATCTTTTAACAAGAATGATGCCCTTATCTGTCAGTGGGCACATCGCTGCAAGACAGCCTTGTTTATGCTCACCTCGTCTTGAATCTCAGTGAAATAAACGCAGGTTGGTACACAGTCACCTCACTGTCCCCAGCCAATACTTGGCTATGCCGCTATGGTACTGTCTGCTTTGGGAGCCTCAGCAAGTGCTCACCGCATTCGACATGTCCTCGTCACAGTTGGTGGCCAATACATCTTCCACATAGCGAGCATCTATGGTGTGCTCTGGGCGCAGAGACCAGGTTTCTGTAGATGGAGATTATTCTCTATCCTGCTGGTTCCACTGGACCGGTGTCTCTCCATTCACCGGGTCCCCACTTTTGACCACTCTGAGGCTTAGTATCAGTTACAGTTGTTTGGCCAATGGCTTAGGCTTCTTATTGTCTAGCGCTCTCTATACATTAACCCATTTCTTTTTTTTTTTTTTTTTTTTTGGTTTTTCGAGACAGGGTTTCTCTGTGGTTTTGGAGCCTGTCCTAGAGCTAGCTCTTGTAGACCAGGTTGGTCTCGAACTCACAGAGATCTGCCTGCCTCTGCCTCCCGAGTGCTGGGATTAAAGGCGTTACATTAACCCATTTCTATTCATCTGTGTAGTACCACGTGCTTGTGGTTTACTGGATATGTCCTGGCATCTCACTTCCCAGGCGGCTACATGGCTTCTCTCAGATTCCGCCTTTTCTCTCTTCTTCTTTTTTTTTTTTTTTTTTTTTTTTTTTT